ATTTAGTGAATTTCTACTGTGTAATTTTTTATATGTTGTATTGATTATTCTGAATAGTTGCTTTCATAATTTCAGCGAGTAAAATTTAAGTTATTGTATTTTGTACTATTTACACATAATAAAAATATTGGTATTTCATACAAGCATACTGGAATACAAGTATTGTTAATGAATATGAGCATGCAATTGGGTAATAGTTGGTTGTTATTACTGTTATAATAATGTGATAATAATATGTGTGAGGACAAGTAAAAGTTGATTTTACTAACTTTGGCTGAAGACTAACTGACCTGTACAGGAAGATGGGGCAACGAGCTTTCTCTTAAATAATATGGTTTGATGTTATCCTCTATTGATTAACATCATTCACTATTTGAGAGTTATAAAGAGTTATTACTGTGCCGACAGGCAAAGAGTGACAATTTTATTTATTGAGACAACGGTTACTGATTATTGAAAAAACACCACGCAAGCCATAACGCCTTACTTGTTAAGTGTGATTACTAGAATTCATGTTACTGCACTATTTTATTATTACTGCACTGCTGCCACTATATTGTTTTATTGATTACTGATACAATTATTGTAGTGTTTTACTATAATTGCCACCGATTTTATAAATATTAATACTATTATTGATGATATCGATGTTATTACTGATTCACTGTTTACTGTCTCAATGTCATTGAGCACGTGATCTCTATTATTGAGCATATGATATAAGATACTGATTGATACTAATAAAAAATAATTGAACATCATGTATATATTAATTTGATAGTATTATTTTATTAATTTTCCATCCATAGTGGTTTATCAGTTTACAGATTTAATTGTCTTCGTACTACACTGTTTTATAGGTCCCTATATTATAGTTTTTCGTTTCTTTACATATTTTATTGCTACAACATAGATTTTCCTATTTTTGCATATATTTATAATCATATTGACTTTTACTAATATAAATTGACTGACGATATGCATACTCCTTCTTTACTGCGCTTTGAGTTCAGTTGTAGAATTTAGTAACCAGCTGAACTTTTTAGCTCATTATATATAGTTTAAATGATTTCAAGTTAGGGAAGAGGATTGAAAGTGTGAAAATGATCAGTTACGATATTCCTCAAATTTTACTATTGTTCATTTCTTTTTTGCATTTAGATTTTTTTTTTGTACTTAGGAGTGAAAAGAGGGGTGTTGTATTTGTAAGACTCTTAGATATTGGAAATGATTTTTGGAGTATGAAAATGGATGTTTCGAGATGTTTTGATCAATAGATTCATTTATGTTGATATTTAACTATTGATAAAAAAAAATTAGACAACTCTAGTTATTGTTATTATAAAAGATAAAAGAAATAATTCCTCCCAATTAGATTCTAGGGAGTAACAATGATACACTTAATTTTCGAAAGATTGTTGAGGGAAAAAAAAGGAGGTTTAGGAACTTAGATGGATGCTTTTTAAAATTGAATTCGAATTTGAATTTGAATATTATTAATTATGAGGAGATTAGATAGTTTTGTAAGGGGTTGTTGAAAGATATCACCATTCACATTACCTTAATATTAGATGTATTATTTGTAGCATTACGGAAAATTAGGGACTTTTAAATGGACTCCTGAAAAATCTAAAGCAACTTAGGAAAAGAAGAGAAAGATATTAGATAGAACTAAATTTCAAAGCAATGCTTTAGAGAGAATAATCTGACACAATAGCTCGAAAACAAATTTGATGTAGGATGACCATGCAAAAAAACTAGAAAGATAATAAAGAAGAAAAAGATAAAAAACGTAATTAATATAATAATGTGGATGTCAGCGAGGTTAATTGGTATAGATCTTAGATATTGTTTCCAAGGTCCTGAGATCAAATCCTTTCCCCAAAAAGGCAATAAAATGAGTAAGTCTCTCCCTTAAACAAAGAGATCACTTCTCTTGGATGGGCTTAAATTTACATATGATCAAGGATTAAAATCAAAGATTGGATAATGAAAAAAAAAATATTCTCCATGTCCAATTATTCACAATAAAAATTCTGGCAAATAAAATTATTTGACGACTTTAAAAAATCGATAGTTATGAATGAAAGAAATAACAATGAAAGAAATAACAAATAACTAAAAAATTGCCTATGAAATATAAACATTTCCGAATACCTTCCTTACCCTTTTTGAGCATGGGTCATACTGACACATCTTCGACACGAATTGAAATGTGTCTAGCATGCTAAATATTGTATCGAAAGCATTTCAAGACAACACAACATGAATCGAATGTTGATATAAAAGTCTCAAAGATTTATATTGTCCAAAAATCAAAGAACAATATAAGTTGATTGTGAAATTCAAATTTATTCAAGAAGCTAACAAATATGATATGGATCTACTAAAAGAAACGAAAGTGATTAATTACCAATGTTGAAAAATCCAACTAAACCAGTATAAGAATTGGACACAAATACAACAACAACAACAACATCAAGCCTTTATCCCACTACGTGGGGTCGGCTAAATGAATCCTTTTTCTCCATTGTGTCCTATTAAAAGTCAAATTCTCGTTTAAATCTAATAAAGAAAGGTCATTCATAATATTTTCTAACCAAGTCTTTTTACGTCTGCCTCTACCTTTCTTAACATAAGTCAAATCTAATACCTCTACTCTCCTAACCGGGGTCATCGGAAGGCGGCCGTTTTATGTGACCAAACCATCTAAGGCGACTCTCTCTTATCTTATCTTCTACTGGAGTTACTCCAACCTTTTCACGTATATGCTCATTTCGTATCCTATCTCTAAGGGCAAAGCCACTCATCCACCTGAGCATCCTCATCTCTGCCACACTTTAACTTGGTATTATGCTTCTCTTTTAATGGCCAACATTCGGCATGGGATAATATCACAAATTAGTTGAAAAATGACATGTCTATCTCACGCTCATTTAAACGTAACATTTGCAGTGAGCGTCATTAGTCAATTTATGCACAAACCCAAAAAGTCTCACATTCGAACTGCTTATAAATCCTCAAATACTTTAAACAAAGTCTTAGTAAAAGAACCTTTAAACAAATTAATACTTTAGAAATTTAAGGATATAATAATGCAGACTATGCATGATCACCATTGAATAGAAGATTCACAACTAAATACTATATATTTTTCAATGAAAATCTCATAACATGAATAAGCAAGAACCTAGATGTTTCAAGATCTAGCGTTGAGCCTGAATTTAGAGTAGAGGTGCCAATAAATGACCCAACCCGACACCCTGACCCAAAAATAATTCAAAAAATCCGAATTCAAGTTGACATGATTAATTTTCAAATTGAAAATCCTAACCTGATTAATTTCAAATTAAATAAAAGCTGAAAACTCAAAATTGACCTGATTATCATTCAGGTTCAAAGTCAAATAGGTCAAGTTCGATTTAAACGGGTCATTCTAGGGTTAAATGAGTCGTATTTAGGTTAGCTAAGTCGCATTAATATAAAAAATTGTGCTATCTACATGATAAGCATGTCAAAGTTGTTGGATTTGGAAAAGTCGATTTCAAGTCGAGTCAGGTTTGGGTCAAATATTTTGACCTGTAAGATGAACATGTCGGATTTAGTCAAGCATATTCAAATCGGGTCAACTTCGAGTTAAACCCTAAACCTAACCTGGTAACCTAAATTAACATGCCTAATTTAGAGCCATGCAAATAATATGCGAGCTTTATTGATCAAATTATTTTAGAAATTTTAAAAATTAAATGGGATGGGCCAACGAATGTATACTATGATAATAAATTTGCTATCGATATTACTCATAATCCAATACAACATAACTGAACCAAGTAAATGGAGATAAATATTTCATATAAAAAAAACTAAAGTGTTGGTTGATCTTATATGCCAACAGAAAATCAAACTTACAAACATTCTCATCAAAGGACGCTACAATCCCACAATAAAAAATATTATAAGCTAACTTGAAATGGTAAATTTATACCATTCAATTTGAGAAGTTTTGAAAAATTGTGGAACCAATAAGTAAACTCATCTTCGTAGTTTTAACCAATGAATCAATCCTCTCATGGCCCTTAGATTGAATTCCTCATGTCTTCTCTTCCTATTCTAGCTGTTAAACCCTCTCGAGATGTTTTTTTTTTTAATGTAAATAACTTTGATTTATTTTCAATGTCAACCTTTTTTAATGTCAATAATATGACACAATGGAGAAAAAGGAATCATGTAGCTGACCCCACATAGTTGGACAAAGGCTTGATGTTGTTGTTGTTGATGTTGTTGTTGTTGTCAGCCTTGGAGATGTCTATAAATCCTTTTATGCTTTATACAAAATTAAGCAATAAAATTCGAAGTAATTTTTTCTATTTATCTTCTTTTCTATATATACGATAATGGTGATGGCTCGAGTGCTTCCAAAAGTTGACATTTCTTCATAATATCCAAGGAGATGAATGCAAAAAAAAACCCTAAAACTAACATAATATAAATTGCACCTTGTTTTAGCAAAAGTAATGAAAATGAAGTGTCAAAATTGCATGTTGAGGCCATATAAGAAACTTTTCAAGTAGAACTGTAGAGAACAAAAGCTCATCTCTTTTTTGCAGGATAAGGATCAGTGTTATGCATGCGTCGGTGTATATATGTCAACCTCCTCAAACGCACACAAGGACATATTGTGCTTGACATGCATGTGGATACATAGATAAAGAAAAGAAGTTTTTATATGTGAAATAAGAAGAAATATTCATTCATACACACGGTATACATAAATATACATGTGATAAAGAAAAGGAGTTTTTATATTTCTAAGGAAAATTATTTCCAATCAAGCAAAACATAGAACACGTATAAAGACCCTTGAGGATCAAGGTAATCATATTGACTGTATTATTGGATTTTAAAGGACTTTAATAATAGCGTATTACAGTCTATGTAGCAATAACAATTAGCATGGTACTTTGAATTATGATAAGAAATATATTAAAATGCTTTTGTACCTTGTTATCAAAATAAATACCCTGGCTTTCATAAGCCATGCGCTCTCCTTTACACCTCTCTATCACCTCAGAACTGCATGTCTTTTTTAGCGTCTCAATATCACCCTACAAACAAAACAAAATGTAAGTTGAATCCATTTTCAGATTAAAAGTGTTGCAGCGACTGATTATCAAAAATATTATGGCAAAAAATACAGAAAAGACACCTTGTAATATGCAGTCAGAACAGGTCTAATCATTTCCTGAACTTCTTGTACAAATTCTGGCAATGAGAAAGTCCTTGACAAGTAAAAGATGAAAGCAACAGTATTTTTAATAAGTAAATTTCCATTTGTTTGAAAGTTGAACTGTGAATTCATTTGACAATGATTTTTTAAATTTCAACAATCTTACGGATCCCGACGTCTTATTTCCTTAAATGAGAGAGCAGTAGCATTCTCCCCAAACACAGCTTCATTCAAACTGCCAAAAATAATAGCAATATTATGCATAAATAATGATATCCAACATAAAGAGAATTCTAAATGATCTAATGAGAAGAAAGCAAAATGTGCAACAGTATAATAAATTAGAAGCAGGGTGAGCGTTAAGGATAATAGCATAATGTTCACTCAACATTAACCTTCCAAATTCATTCAACAAGATATTTCAATCCTATCATATTTTGAAAATTAACAGATAAAAGGATCCAAATGACACAATCCAATTGTCCACACTTGCCCATCCAATTGAAAGATATCCTTCTAAGGGTTACAAGTGGCAGTTTTTGAGCTTGGCAAAGATTCACTTAAAATAAATAGATTGCATGGAGATTGACACAGAGCTGACACTCACGCTAGGTTGGTACTCCGTACCAAATTAATACTGATAAAGTTCGTGTAAAAGGCAAGGTTCGGTAAGATAATTACATATTTTAGAAGTCGTTTTACGGAGAAAATTTTTTACAGCAAAAATTGGGCTACAGAAGAGAGCTTCGAGAAGTTCAAATTCCAACTACCAGTATTTGACGGGGAATGCTATGATGATAGATTTGTGTACCTCAAATTAAAGAATGGAACACGTCACACTAATAAAATAAATATTGTTCCTTGGAAAAGTGCTATATAAAGAAATAGCTGTAGAATGAAGTGAACGGCATATAAAGCAAAACAATTGGCTCAAACAGGCCTCTTATCCAAGTTGAGTGTGCAAAACCCAAGACACGAGCATGACAAAGAGCAGAAAGGTTTGTAGCAAGACAATGATTGCTTTGGAAAAGTCAAACTCCATCTAAACTTGGGAGTTTATTTTTCACAAAGTAGATTAGATTTATCCGCCATGGTAAAATACTCATGCTCATGAAAAAATGCTCTCCGTTAAAGTTTCTTGGGTTTATATTTTAGGCTTAAATTTGATGTTAAGGTTTGCATTTAATTCACAAGGAATGGTTGGGGGAACTGAGGTAACTCCAATCAAGATCTGATGACTCCATAATATTAGGTATACCAATGCATCCAATCTATTAATATCAGAAGGCTATGAATCACAACATCCAAGAAGCTTGATTAGCAACCATGTCTTGCCTCCTCTCAGGCGAGTAAATTTGAGTTAAAATTTATGCATGAATCATAGCACAGGGTTGGCCATGCCAATTTCATTCAATACTTCAAAGGCACAAAGCATGGCTACTTATTGTTCAGCGGTACTATACATGACTTGCAACAACACAAAGGTATCGTGTGAATCAATGATCCGCCAGTTCTACCTTGACTAAAAAAAAGCATGTCTAAGACATGAGTTTTGATTGATGTAGTTTGATTTTGATTGATGAGCTTGGTAATATGGGCATTGACATGAGATTAGTTTATGTTGATGCCATTAGAGGACCAAGATAAATTGGGTTGCAGCTTAGATCCATTAGAAAGTCTGTAAACGAGATTTACAATCTTAAAAGTATATCCAAGTAATAAGACTTCTAGCATTGCCGTAAGGTGGCTCGATAAGCTAAATTTAGTTTGATGAGTTCAATGGCTTTCCAGTAACCTCATTAATGGAATGGGGCTTATATCTATTAGAAGGCCCCTCATGTGTTATCTATCTTCCTCACTTAGTGTTTGATGTTTATAATTAACTTGATTTAAAATCTAGAGCTTATTGCTCCATTTGCATATTTCCAAGAGGGAATATTTTAACAACCCTAGCATTCTGTATGTTCACATGTGAAACTTTGCCTCAGATATTGATATTAGCCAAATGGTGGGTCTTAAAAATCTCATCATGCATCTAAGGAAGCGAATTCAATTCAAATGATTAATTTTGGCTTTCCAATGGAGACATATCTCGATGTGTGCTAGGATGATTCACTAAGAGCTTGGATTAATTTGGAGTTAATAAAGCAAACCTAGGTCCTCGGTTTATTTGCATGGTCATAATGATAAATTTTAGTTAATGCAAAGTCAAACCTAATTTAGAAATCTTATGATAATTCATTCTCTTCAAGATGTTATTTATGTAGTTTCGTTGCAAACTTCATTCTCAGTTGCCAAAGTAGTTGATAGAAAGATAACTCATGAATAGAAGTTATTGCTTTGAAGTTTTCTTGTTTGAATCCCTAATACTCATCCATGGTTTAAAGATGGTTATTGCTAAAACAATCCTTAAAATATTGATGTTCCTAATTTGTTTTGAACCATCATATGCACAAGCATAACTTGGGCCAATTTAGCTAATTATGATCAAAACATTCCTCAAAAGAAACCCCATAAAGGAGAAGTTCATAGATAATATATTATTAACCAAATTGGTTGCACTATTTTTTATGATCAAAACCATCAAAAGGAATGTAACGCGACTAGAAAGAGGTCAATACAAATATAAGAGTGGGTGTAAACTTGAGTTTGGCCAATATTCTTAATTTGTCAAATTCTACCAGAACTGAGATTGAACATATCTTGATGTTCAAATATTAATGATTTGTTTCACAATGCACTATATTATATGTTTTTTTTAACATTCTTATATATAAAGCAAATGGTCAGAAGAGCTTTAAGAACAACTATTTGTGAGCTTTAAACTTTATCGAGGGGAAACATTATCCCCCTAGTAAGGCTACCTTCGAAGGCAAATCACATAAATAGGTGGCCTGCTCCACATTGCAGACATTTACACATTACAACATTAAATGTCTTATCTACTAAAAAATTTAGTTTATATAGTTTTACTACTCGCATGTTTAATGCAACACAACAACAACAACATCACCTTTATCACACTACATGAGGTCGGATGCATGAATCCTTTTTCTCCATTGTGTCTAGTTAAGTGTCAAATTCTCATTTAGATCTAATAAATAAAGGTCATTTCTAATATTTTATAACCAAGTCTTTTTAGGTCTACCTCTACCTTTCTTAACATAGGTTAAATCTAATACATATACTCTCTTAATAGGGTCATCGGAAGGCTGTCGTTTTATGTAACGAAACAATCTAAGGCAACTCTCTCTAATCTTATTTGCCACTGGAGCTACTCCAACCTTTTAATGTATATTTTGTATCATGTTTCTAAGAGTAAAATATCCTGTCTCTAAGAGTAAAGTCACTCATCCACCTAAGCATCATAATCTCTGCAACACTTAGCTTAATATAATGCTTCTCTTTTAATGGTCAACATTCTGCGCCATAAATCATTACAGGTCTAGCCACCATCTTATAGAATTTTCCCTTAAGTTTGAGTGGTACTTTTCTATCACACAACAAACCCGATGCATTCCTCCACTTCATCCATCCAACTTGAATTATACTAATAATATCCCCATCTATTTCACCATCACTCTGAACAATAGACCCAATATATCTAAAATGCGTACTCTTATTAATGACTTGATTGCTAAAAGTCACAAACCCCCCACTAGATCTATTACTACTAAAATTAAACTCCATGTGTTCGGTTTTACATCTACTCAAACGAAAATCTTTAGATTCTAAGGTTGACCGCCATAATTTAAGCTTACCTTCAACTCTCTATTTAGTCTTATCAACAAGAAGAATATAATCAGCAAAAAGCATAAACCATGGAAAATCCTCTTACAAATCTCTAGTAAGAACATCCATGACTAAAGCAAAAAGATATGGGCTTAAGGTTGATCCTTGATGTAATCCAACTGAAATTGGAAAATACTTGGTCAAACCACATTGTGTTTGAACACAAGTAACAGCTCTAGCATACATATCCCTAATGACTTGAATATAAGCATTATTAATCTCTTTCTGTTTAAAACTCTTCATAGCACTTCTCTTGAAACTTTATCATATGTTTTCTCTAAATCAATAAATATCATATGAAGATCTTCCTTTTTCTCTTTATACTTCTCCATGAAACCTCTAAATAAATGTATGGCTTCCATAGTCGACATACCCGACATGAATCCAAATTGATTTTGAGAAACATTAAGTGTCACGTTGTAACCTATGCTTCACAACTCTCTCTCATAGTTTTAAAGTATGACACATCAACTTAATTCATCTATAATTTGCACAATCTTGTGCATCACTTTTATTCTTAAATATACGAATCATCACACTCATTCTCCACACATCTGGCATCTTCTTAGTATTCAAAATAATATTAAAAAGTTTAGTAAGCCAAGAAATTCATTTATCTGCTAAGCATTTTCACACCTTTAATGGAATATCATCAGGTCCAACAGTTTTCCCACACTTCATTTTTTTTTAAGCCTCTCTAACTTTAGTTTTAGTAATACAGCAATAATAACAAAAATTTATATTTTCATTTAGAGTGTTAAGGCCACTAAAGTAAATCGTGTTTTCACAATCTTTATTGAAAAGCTTAGCAAAATACCTCATCCATCTTTATTGAATATCATCTTATAAAAAAAGTTCTTTTTGATCTTCATCCTTAATGCACTTCACTTGGACTAAATCCTTACTACTCCTATCTCTTTGTTTGGCTAGCTTATACATATATCTTTCGCCCTCTTTAGTATTAATGCAATCAAAAATTTGGGAGAGGGACCCAAATTTTTTATCACAAAAGAAAACTCTTTCTAGGATGATAGAAAGACATAAAATACTCAAAAACTTGACAAAATATAACTAACAAAACAAAACTTTAATATTATAAAAGGACTTACAAACAAGACTTACAAACTTTGACAAATTTATGACTTCAAAACAAACATCTAAAGAAGCTTTCATCCATTAGAAGAAGGATACAGGTGAGGTGGTACTTGCGGAGAGACGAAAGAGGTTAGAAGCCGAGAAGATGGGTGGAAAGAACTCGCAAGTCTTCCCAAGAGATAGAAGAAGAAGAGATGGAACAAGCTCGCAAGCTTTACCAACAAAACCCGCATGTTTATATTTCCAAAAATCATTCATATATCATATTTAAAACAACCACAAACAACTCCTATTTATAGACAAGAGAGGGGAAACTTAAACAGCCACAAAAACCCTTCATATACTTGATAAATGAGGGAAATGAAAAGCCAACAATTTAGTCCAAATTTCTGTCTAAAAACAGATCAGAAATCTGTCCTAAATTTGCACAGAAAAGCTGCATGAAACAAGGGGTAAAGGCAAGGGAAACAACCAGCTAGTACAGGAACCAAGGAGGCAACCGTGGGAACCAAGGAGCCAAGGTACGGGAACCCAAGAGCCATCCACGGGAAACGAATAGACAAGGGGAAGGAGATGAGACAAAAAAATGAGCTATTAATAGATGATCTAAAAACATAGCTCATAATGAGCTAACTCTTAGTTCAATAAATGAACTAAAAAACCAGCTCATAATGAGCTAAATCTTAGCTCAAAAATTAATGAGCTAGCAAGCTCAAGGGAAGTCAAAACTAATTTTTTTGGGGTTTGATTTGACCCCCCTCCCTTTGCCTACATCAAGTATCTAAACTATTATATAAATCATTAAAAGCTAAAGTCTTTGCATAACAGAATGCTTTCTTAGACTCCTTACGGGTAACTTTATGGGGCTGTATGGTATGCAGAATTAGAAGGGTAAAATAATTTATTTACTTGCATTTCATAAATTAAGTCGTTTGATTTGTTTTGAGCGGAGCGTAAGTAATTCCTCTGAAGCATCAGCGGTGTATTGCGACGGGCCGTTCATGCGACTTCGAAACCTACTCAATTGAGCGGGTTAGAAATCCTCTTGTGCGGTGTATTACGAAGCCAATGCAGAGACCATGATTCAAAAAAATGGAGATACCTTCCCGAACAAGGGGACGGACGGACGCCTCTGGGGGCATTTCTCTTCCCATTCCTTTGTCTCTGTGGTTCGCACTCCCAAGAGCTGACCTCCTCTCTCTCGCTTTTCTAATGGGTACACTCAGACAAAGAGGCCAAAGCCCTCTTTCTTCCCAGCTCTCTTGCTCTCAGTTTGCCCTAGCCCCTCTCTTCCGTCTCCTAGTAATGCACAAGAGGCTGGAAGCCCCTTTTCCCCACAAATTCTCCCTCTTCAGACGCCTCCAAGCCGCAATCCTCACAAGACATGCCTCCAAACACTCCGGTCGGCTCTGATATGCAGAGGCAAAGCCCTTGCCTTTCTCGACCGGTCTCCACTTCCTCTTGACGCTGAGCCTCCTCCAACCTTATTCTCACACCTGCTGCCAACCTTGCTGACTCGACCTCACCAACCAGATTTGTTGTTGTTGTGGCCTAACGGATTAAGCAAGAGGAAAACGAGAGTTGGGTGGATCTCTCAGCCGCACCCTTTTGAGCAAGGAAGAGCATGAACCTTTCTTGGTGCTGTTCATTCTATTTTCTTTCATCCAAACTGAGAGGAGTTCTTTGCTTCTTCTACAAAGAATGTAACTATGCCTGGTTCGTCCCTTCCAACAAATAGAAACTATATAAAAGCTGTTGTTTTGATTCCTCTTACATAAAATTGAAATAAAAAAAATGTAAAGCTAGAATGAAATATTTGTTTACTTATTTTTATCCCATCTTGTAAAAGAGTAAATAATCAGATTCTCTTGCAGTACACTGGTAAATTAATACACAGCATAATATTATATCTTATAATCTCAAAAAAATTAGTGCAATCAATAAAAATATTGATTTTATTTTATAACACCAAATAATAGTAATTATTATAAATACACTGCTTTTATAAATACACTAGTTGTAATGCCAAAATAAATTATTATAAATACACTGCTTTTACTTTACTCCGAATATACCTAACCAAACAATGGAAACAGTTCTCCTGCGTTTATTTTGTAGACAACCAAACAGTCTCAAATTATTTGTAATACAGTACATTTACTTTACATTGCATTTATTTTACACTGCATTTTTTTTCAGGCAACCAAACAGCCCCTATACCTTTCCCAATTTTTAGAATTTTTACATCTAAATCAATTTTTATAACTGAGCTTCTTATTTTTGATCTTTTCTTGCATATTTTGGTTCGACCATGATGTGACATCAAAGCTTGGAAAGTCTATCAAAGACGTGGCTGTCGATCGATGACCACAATTGAGTCGATGTATTTTTTAGTTCTATTATGTATTTGTCATTTATTATTTTATGCTTGTATTTGCTTTTGTTATCTTTCATTTTTATCTCTTACTTAAGGGAGGTCATGTGTATGCCCAAAGGGCATTATCATCTTTTATTTTTGAGTAATTTGTATGAGGCTATATATAGCCCCTATGTTTTCTTTTCATGCTTAATGAATGAATGAATGATAAAAATTTTCAAGAGTTTGAGTTCCTTGTGAGAGCTTGAGAGTGCTTAGGCGAGAAAACCCTTGGAAAGTACATGGACCGCATCATCTTCATGCTTTCGGAGGTCATCGACGAGCAACTTGCCAACGTCCTGTGACAAATTGTTCTAGGACAACAGCAAGGGTGAATTTCTTCCCTCTTCATTTATGTTTCTAATCTGATAACCTTGTAGGTGGTGATTTAATCGCAAAGTTCTCGTGCTTCGCCTTCTGCCTCCACTTAGTAAACGTAGGACTTTGAGTTTACTTTCTATGTTGCTTATCTCAATGTTAGATTAGGAATTTTTGCTGAATAACTAATTAATTAGCATGTTATTGAAATTCAAAGTTGTTTTGATAATCCAAGTGCTTAGCATGTGATTTGGCCTACGCGTAGCTAGCCCTCTTACGTTTTCTTTTATCGTTTTAATTGCTAATAGTCTTAATTATTATTTGTTCTTATCAAAATCGTGCAAGTTCTTAGCGCATTAATTTAAAGCATTGTAGTCATGCATCAGACCACCAACTATTTTTACTATTAGAAGTTTGTCCTTTTGATACTCCAAGCACATCCTTTGCAACATTCTTAGTATTACAAGCTACTATTTCTCATATAATATTACCTTCCTCATGCACCGACAAAATCTTAAGATAGTGAATCTTACTCTTAAAGATATTTTTGTTTGAGTTCCTTAAATGTCATCATCTAATCCCAGAACATATATATGCTATATATTTCATACTCTGCCCCTTCATCTTAAAGTAAAAAACTAATAAGCAGTGTTGGGTACATAGACCTTCACTTAGAATAACTTTACAATCTCTGCAATCTAAGTAATATATTTTTCTTAGAAGAAAATAATAAATCTGAGTTATACTATATCAATTCTGATAAGTGATGAGATGCTCATCTATTTTCTTAAATAAATAAGTTAGCAATAACAAAATTATTAGCTAGAGAAAAATCTAATATAGCCTTACCACATTCATTACTGGCTCCAAACTCATAGCCACCATTAATGTTTTTAAAATCCTCTACCTCTCTACCAACATGTTCATTTAAATCTACCGCAATAAAAACTCTTTCTTCAAGATGTATCTTTTGTATTAATTCTTCTTAATCTAATATAGATTTTATTGAATTAATTCTTCTCCATGATATGTCTGCTCTGCTTTGGTAGAACTGTGAGAGACAGACTAATCATCTTGGAGTTCTTCAAGATGTATCTTTTTACCTTTCAACATGTTTGGGGTCATTTTCATTTGTAGATTGAACATAGTCGACTCTGTCTAGCTGTCGACAAAAGATCGGGTTTCGTAGGCTTTATGCCTTTGTTGATGAATTTCTTTTGTCATAGCCCGTGTTAAGAACAGTTTGAGTGAACTGCACTCTAGCGACTCCACTGGGAATTACTTCTCTCTCCATATTTGGATTAAAAGATATTTTTTAGTTTCAAGTATCAAACATCTAAAAATAAATATAGATGTTCATTTATCACATACATGTGTTTTCTTTTCTAACAGAATGTAAGTTGACTGCATTAAGAGGGCTTTATGCCACCCTGGCTCACTCACCCAGGTGTAGTTTGTCTCTCACAGTTCTACCAAAACAGGACTCCAAGTTAAAAGGTAAAAAAATAGATGTCCAGACCATGCTTGAATGTCAAAAAAAATTCAACAAAATCAGATCTTTAAAAGATAAAGATACACATGTTACGAAAAATAACCCAAGAACTTCAATTCGATTTTAACAAAACCAAACCAAAGCAAATAGTAAAAGCGTAGATAAAATTTCAAGGTCAAGGATTGCACTAACTGATGTTAATATTGTCTATTCCAACATATTAAAGTGTAGTCTCTAAAATAGAACAGATAAATATCTAACTTGCTAAACTAATAAAAACTTGGTATAGCTCAGAACTTTATGAAAATAATGCCGTAGGGAGAAGTAGGATTCAGAAGTAGCACATTTAGCAGTAAACTAACTTTAGTTGATCCATTCAACAAACTTTTTTTTCTTTTCCTCCATCAATTTCAACAAAAAAGATGAACGGAAGCATCAAAATTAGACAAAATCATCAAGACCACCACGTTTAAATTTGGATTTCCAATCGTTCAAGCCTTAAGAATTAGAAAAAATAAATGAAAGATGAGAAAGTATGTACTCTATAATTTTATGAACAAAAGGATGATCACTTGTCTCCAATGTCTCCCGGACATCCTCAGCTATCTGACAAACATAAACGTAAGCAATCCAAATACCATCAACATGTTATCAGAAAAATCCAAGCTTAAAAGAAATAAATAATAAGGAAAAATTACTTTAACATAGCAAGGAAACAACCAAGTAACCTCACCTCTTGTCCCTTAGCCACAACAGGTTCACTAATTCCCCTCACCCGCTTATAAATAGGATGACTTTGTACCTGATGCAAAATAATTGTAAACAAGACTCCCAAGGATGCCTAAAAAACATTAAAAAAAAACATAATGTGCAATCTTATTACCTTCCTTTTAAATGTTTCCCACTTCTCACCCAGAGGTGACTGTTTGGAAGGCACGATAACAATATCAGTTCTAGCACTTCTGGGATCAGATGATGCAGAGGTAGCTGTATATCGCATTCGCCTTCTCCTAGACGGACTATTACTAAGCTCATCTCTTATCATATCATATCCTTTCTTTGCTAAATCATGAATTTTTGTTTCTTGCAATTTCTGAAATGCTAATGAAAACTTAGGAGAAACAGAAGAAATTTTCATTCTAAATCTGCCAAATAGGGTGTCAGATACTCCAGCTTGTTCTTGAGAATTGTTAGCCTCATAACCTTGAGAACACTCTGACCTAGCATTTGCACTGTCACCATCTTCTACCCTGAAAGAGTCTGAACTAGTCGACGTGTGAGACGACCCAGAAGTTTCCTGTGTTCCAAGTCCCAGAGTCTCTTTGACCTACTCAGAAAGCAAAAAAGGACAGTTCGATAATCCACTCTAATGCTATCATCTCAACAGAGAAAATGCAATGTTTTACCTCTTCCTTAGCAGCTGTCAACTTCTCCTTCACATTCTCAGCCACCTGAAAAATTAGGTTTCCTTGTAAACAACTTACTAAATGCAAACAGGGAGTGCGACACAAAAGAATGCAAAATTGGATAAGCTTATTATGAAGAGAAACATGGTTTATAATAACAAAAAAAGAACCTGTTGCTAGTAAGCATAGGACTAAATTCAACTAAGGCTGTCCAAAATTCCAAAACCAACAATGTGCCTAAAGGACCTTATTCATGGCATCAGAAATGGAGCTACTTTTTTTTGGATCAGAAATAATCAAGTCCTATCTCAGTTGAAGAAATCAAAAATAAAGGGGAAAAGAATAAAAAATAAATTAAAATCTCTTGGAAGAAAAATGTCTGACGGTAAAAGCCATATTCAAATCTTAATAAAACTAGACTATATTAGTAGCATCTTCAGCCACTAATGCATCCAATTGTATAAAGCGCCCAAAATGACTATTGCAACTTAAGAAAAAAATGGCATAATCACAACCTTGCAGAAAGCCCTCAAAATTGATATTGCAACAAATGAACAAAAGACATGCTCACGAGGAGGCTAGCAAAAGAAAAAGATAAACTTCCTTAGTGCCTAAACTGCTCCAATTTTGACATTCGAGTGTTGTAGAAAGCGCTAAAAAGTATTACTACAACTAATGAACAAAAGGCATCTGTGTGTGGCTGATTGTTGCAACAACAACAACAACATCAAGCCTTTGTCCCACTATGTGGGGTCGGCTACATGAATCCTTTTTTGCCATTGTGTCCGGTTAAAATCAAATTCTCATTTAAATTTAATAAAGAAAGATCATTTCTAATATTTCATAACCAAGTCTTTTTAGGTCTACCTCTACCTTTCTTAACATAAGTCAAATCTAATACCTCAACTTTCCTAACCGAATCATCGGAAAGTCTCCTTTTAATGTGACCAAACCATCTAAGGCGACTCTGTCTAATCTTATCTTCCACTGAAGCCAAGTGAGAACATCCATGACTAAAGCAAAAGGATATGGACTTAAGGCTAATCCTTGATGTAATCCAACCGAAATAGAAAAATACTTGGTCAAACCACATTGTGTTTGAAGACAAGTACTAGTTCCTGCATACATATCTTTAATGATTTGAATATAAGCATTATTAACTCCTTTCTTTCAAGAACTCTCTATAACACTTCTCTTGAAACTTTATCATATGCTTTATCTAAATCAATAAATATCATATGTAGATCCTCCTTATTCTCTCTATATTTTTCCATCACACCTCTCAATAAATATATGGCTTCGATAGTAGACCTACCGGACATGAATCCAAATTGATTTTGAGAAACATTAGTATCACGCCGCAACCTACGCTCCATAACTTGCTCCCATAATTTTAAAGTATGACACATTAATTTAATTTCTCTATAATTCGCACACTCTTGTGCATAACCTTTATTCTTAAAAATAGGAATTAACACACTCATTCTCCACTGATCTGACAATTTTTTAGTCTTCAAAACAGTATTAAAAAGTTTAGTAAGCCAAGAAATTCATTCATCTCCTAAGCATTTCCACGTCTCTATTGAAATATCATCAGGTCCAACAGCTTTTTCACACTTCGTTTTCTTCAAAGCTTCTCTAACTTTGGTTTTACTTATATATCAATAAAAACAAAAATCTTTATTTTCATTTAAGGTGATAAATTCACTAAAGTCAATCGTATTTTCACATTCTTCATTAAAAAGTTTAGCAAAATACCTCATCCACCTTTGTTTAATATCATTTTTTAAGAAAAGTATTTTTTTATCTTCATCCTTAATACACTTCACTTGAATTAAATCCTTACGATTCATATCTTTATTTGGCTAACTTATGCATATATCTTTCTCTCTGCTTAGTATCTAATATATTATATAAATCATTAAAAGCTAAGCTCTTTGCATCGCAAATAGCTTTTTTATATTCCTTACAAGCCTCTTTATAGCTTTTCCAATTATCATAATTTTTACATCTAAACAAATTTTTATAACAATTCTTTTTTTTTTTCTTGCACATTTGGATTCCACCACCAACTATTTTTACTATAATGAACTTTTTCCTTGGAAACTCCAAGCACATCTTTTGTAATATTCTTAATGTCACAAGTCATTTTTTCCCACAAAATATTGGCATCCTCATGCACAGACAAAATCTTAGAATCTAAAATCTTACTCTCAAAAATATTTTTGTTAATATTTTGTAAATGCCCCCATCTAATCTTAGAAATTTGTTTTACTTTATTTTTTATTTTTTTATTTTTTTTCCTTTTATCTTAAAGTCTAAAACTAATAATCGATGTTGGGTACATAAATTTTCACTTGGAATAACTTTACAATATTTACAATCTAAACGATCTAATTTTCTTATAAGAAAATAATCAATCTTTGTTTTACTATATCCATTTTTATAAGTACTAAGATGCTCATCTCTCTTCTTAAATAAGGTATTAGCTATTAAGAAATCATAAGCTAAAAAAAAACTAATATAGTCTTACCACATTCATTTGTCGTTCTAAACTCATGGCCACCATGAATGCTTTTAAAATCATCTACCTCTCTACCAATATGTCCATTTAAATCTCTTCCAATAAAAACTCTTTCTTCAAGAGGTTTATTTTGTATTATTTCTTTTAAGTCATTCCAAAATTTTAATTTTGAACTCATATCCAAACCTACTTGAGGAGCATAAGCACTTATAATATTGGCAATCTTAACATCAACAACAATCTTTAAAGTTATAATTATATCTCTAATTCTATTAATTTGTATAACATTATCCTTCAAACTCTTATCTATAATCACACCTACATCATTTTTAGAATGACTCCTACCCGAATACCAAAGTTTATATCCTAAACTATTAATCTCCTTAGTTTTCTCTCCAACTCATCCAGTTTCCTGAATGCACATAATATTTATCTTTCTATGAATTACAATGTCTATTAATTCTATTAATTTTCCTGTAAGGGAGCATATATTCTAAATTCCTATCCTAATTTTAGGTTCATGGGTTAGCTTCTTTGCCCTCATCCGTCCTTGATGTGGGAACTCTTTCCTATTTAACACTACATCCAGGCACCAGTGCAGAGGCCCTTGCACACTTGTCACTGTATTCAAGTCATACAATGCGTCGCTTCCAAGGGACGCCCTAGCATTAGCACAATTTTTAAAATGATTCATGTCATGATTATTCAACAAATTTTACGCTGGTTGTTGACTACCTAACGCCTCCACTTTTCTCATCCAGGACTTGAGACCTGACAACGGCAGTGTTGCTGATTGTTGCAGCAGTAAAAAAAATAATATTTGTGGTTAACTGCCAAAAGTGAAGAAAGTAATGTGGGTGTGATTGTTTGTTTACACATAGGGATTGTTGTTGCCAAGTAATGTTCGTAGCTGATAAAAGCGAACAAAGTAGTGTGTATGTATGCATACGGGAGCATAGGTGCACATGAAAAAAGTAAACAAAGTAATGTGTGAATGTGCATGCATGTGTGCTAGTGCAAGCACGTTGGTGTGCGTGTGTGCGTATGTGGGTGTGTGAATGAGTTCATGTGTGCTTATGCAAAAGTGAACAAAGTAATATGAGCGCATGTGTGTTCATAAATGGGTATGAGTGCGTGACACAAAAGAGTATTTTTGGGGTGTTGATTATGACAAAAATTAATAAATTAACACGGCTTGGTGCATGTTTGCGTGTGTTTGATAATAGAAAAAGCAAATAAAGAAATTAAAAATCTAGATGCAAACATGATCCCAAAAAATCAGTTTTTAGCCTCACATTTAATTGAATTCCCCAGATCGGCATTCACTAAGATATGAGGTTTCAAACTTCATATAAATGCAAGGCCCCATATTTAACCATCTCATCTGGTATAACTCTCTCGATTAAAGAGGCCATTCAGCAAAAGCATTCAAGAAAACTTTGTTCAATGTTTGCAAGTCCTACGGAATAGGATGGGGACAAATGGATAAATTTTTCAAGCTGCAATCATCTAAAGTTTATCAAGTAACAATATATGATTACTAGTGAGCCTTAGCTATGAAAATATAGCTTTAAGTGGGAGAGATTTGCACTATATGAACAAATTAGGTCAATAATCTTCTTGTGATCATTAGCACTGAACCATTGAGCATGTTGTGGCTTTTTACCTTATGAGTTATTAAGCCTAAGTTGTGGCCTAAAGACAACCTTGTTATAATGATGTAGGCAAGGTGGGGTCAAAACAAGCTGAGTTGAAATTTTTGTAAGTTCTACTAAAGTCAGTTCATTAATGAGCCTCTTCTTATTATTCAGCTCATAAATTGTGTATTTATTGCCAAAATTAGATTCATTCCCCCTCCTTTACTCCCCTCCTCTCTAAAGATTCTTTGGTTTCCCCCCTCATGTCTCTTCCCCTTCTTGAGTCTCTTTGGTTTCTTCCATGGAATTAAGGTTGTGGGCTGTTGCCTTTTGGGATTTCTCCCTAGCTGCTTTCCCGTGAATCCTATGCCATGTTTCCTGTGTTGGCTCCTCGGGTCCCTTGCTAGCTGGGCTTATCGTGGCTTGCTAGCTGGGTTTCCCGTAGCTTTTTCTCCCTGTTTTCTGTATAGTTTTTGGGGCTGCTGTGGTGTCTTTTGGCCTTCTTCTTCTCCAATTTATGAGGGTTGTTTTGAGGGCTTTTGGGCTGCTTCTTCCCTCCTATATATATGATTGTTTTAGGCTGTTTTAGAGAGAGTTTATGATGTTATTTTTGGAGCAAAAAACCTATGGGTTTTCTTGGAAAAGCTTGCGAGATTGTTCCACCTCTTCCTCTTCTTCTAGGAAAGCTTGCGAGCTTCTCCTCCTATCTTCGTCTTGGACTTCTTCTCTCCTTCTTCTCTCCATAAGTGTCATTCCATATGTATCCTTCTTCTAGATGAAATGCAACTTTAGGAGTTTCTGTCGTCAAAGTTTGTAAGCGTCGTTTGTAAGCGTCTTTTATATTATATAAGTTTGTTTTTGTCTAATTTGTCTATTTTGGGACA